AAAAATTGTTCTATATGCTCATAGACTTTCAAAAGACAATCAAATTAACTTTTATTTTATTTTATAATCAATTAAAATTTGGAATATATGTTAATTTTTTGTTCAAATTCAATTATATGATTTAAACCTAGAATTTTTGAAATATTTAAGTTTTATCAAGTTTAAGATTTCAAAATATTTTAATTTTGGCAAATTTATGATTATTTCAATGTGTTTGACAATTAGAATAAGATTAATCAAAATAATTTAATTTGGAAATAAATGTGTGTTGGTAATTGATGTATTCATATCTTTACACTTTCTATGTACATATTTGCATACCTTTAGCATGCATTCATCATCATTTTGCATCATTTAAGACTATTTTAGCCTTTGTTTAGCTTAGATTTGCATCTTAGGGTTCTAGGTTAGTGTTTGTACATACTCATCTTCTTTTACCCTTTTTCAGGTAGTATTTGTGCTTAAATGTAGTTATCTGGTTATCATTAGCCTTGAGGATTGAAGAGGAGTGCTGAGGAATGGGAGCAGGGACCAAAATGGGTTTTAAAAATTGAAGATGGAAGCAGAGGAGTAGATATCGGTCATCACATACCGGATATGACCGATATACCACACCTGGAACAGCGGAAAGGTGGAGTCTCATTAGACACACTGAAGTTCGTGACTTGGGTCGAGAATCAGGTTATCGATTGCCACTGAAAACTAGCACACCGATATCCTAGGTTATCCTCTTATCACGATGGAGCATCAATACTCTCCAACCATTAGACAGGTGCGGTATATCGGTTGAGCCTGATATTGAAGACACCGATATCCCCTGATATCGACACATGCCGATGAAGAAGACCGATAGCCTGCCTAACGAGGAACAAGACCACGATACTACGGCTGGATGAACCACTGGAACAACACTGGATATCGGTCACTTCCCCGATGTAGGAGTGACCGATCCTTCTCGTATTTTGTTGACTTTTTTCGGGTCGACCGTTGACTTTTGCTGGATGATCCAGTTCGAGTTGGGTTGACCCGGATACTTTTATGAGGGGCTATAAATATGTTCTTAACCCCTGAAAAACCTAAGTGGGAACTCGCAACATTTTTAGAAGCTTTCCTTTTATAATTTTAGTTGTAATCACTCTTTAGAGCATTAATCTCTTGATGTTCTAAGTACTTAGCTTTATAAAGTTTTAATCTTTACCTTAAAGTTTCAATCTTTGCGCTTAAATCGTCTTCGTTTATGCAATTAGGATTCACCCATCACCCTAGCTCTGTCATGGCTTGTTCCATAGCCATGAGTGAGTAGTCTCTTTATTGAGCTGCGGTTAGTAGATTTAGGGGCTTTAGAACGTGGCTAACATCACTTCGGCTTATCCATTACATGTTCTCAAGCTTAGGTTGAGCTTAAAACTAGGTTCTTGACTCATTTCTCGAACCTTGTTGATAGGCGTTTCCCTGTCCGAAATGTGTTTGTGGGAATGCATGAATGACCTTTTGTTTGGCTTAGTAATCTTTGGCCACGAAAGTTGATGTCAAGGCGCTAAGTGAGCTTATTGGACTTGATCAGTAACGCTTGGAGAGTCTCTTAATCTAGCAACGAAAGTTAGTTAGATACTTAGATCTAGATACTCAACAAAGTAATTAGTGCCACGCAAGTGGTCTAATTTGATACAGTGTTTCATGCTTAAGAACTGAGCTTTTAACCTAAAGTCTCAAGCTTTATTAGCCATGATTATATCGCCCCTTATCAGTTGCTAACCAGTTGCTCAATACTTTCTATATCGTTACATTTAAATCCATCTTTGCTTACTTGTCTCGTTATTACATTTTGATTTAGCTTAGTTCAACCTAATCCAATTTCTATTTATACTTTAGCTTGATATAAATACTCTATGGTGTAGTACTCTAAATCCTAGTCTTCCTTGTGTTCGAATCTTACGCTTGCTACAATTGAATCATGAGTTAGGTTGCTTAACTTGTTAGGATTTTATTTGATAGGGTTGCATGCTAAAGAAACTTTCATCTGT